TTTTCTTTGGTTAGTTGGATTTAGGTTTGGGTTGAATAACTTAAGGTGGGGTAGGTTCATTTGAGTATACGCAGGGTCGGGCTGCGTGTAAATAAGGTTAAAGTTGGCTGATCATAGGTTTCTTTTTCATGTTTTGAGACTTTCTCTTTTGTTACAGATCGTTTGTGGTCACAGTATCACCTCTTTTAACTGATTAGTATTTTACTCCAAGTGTAGAAAGCAAATTTGACGGAATATTCATGCACGTTGATTGATTTATGTAAACTGCTGTACAGTACTTTCAATTGTATACTCAAAAGTACATCATATCCACAAAAAAGATCTTAATTATGAGATTAACATCTGCGTGAAAGAAGGTTTCACACACATTTAAACTTGAGATGAGTTTATATCGACAGATTTTCAACTCAGCATTGAAAAATAATGTCCAAAAATCGACTGGTAAGATTATACTTGAAGTTATGATACAACAATACCACAATTTTAGGGATAGCATTTTTGCTTTAGTAGTAAGATTATTTGGAGAGATTTAATAATTACTTGAAATCTCACTTATCTTCTTTTTCTTCTTTATGAAAGGAAACCAGACAAAGTTGGACGATGACGAATTGGAAGAATCTGTATCATTACAGTACGAACTTACTATTGTGGCTAGACCTGGACCAGGTCACTTCCTGGCGACAGTTTGGCACAACCCTGTCACCAACAAGAGCACCGTCGACGTGAGTCATTCTTGCTTGATTCATTCATGAAATGCAAATAAAAAAGGAAGAGTAAAAAAATCGAGCCGCCCTCTTGAATATTTTTCCATAATCAGCTTTGCTCGATATTTGCGAATTTTTCTTCCCTTCACTGTCGACGATGCTGAAGGTGACAACTACAGGAGACCCTATCATCCTCATGTCGGGTAAAGAAGCGCCTCGCGTTTGCATATGCAAATTACCTCATTTTATGGAAAATTGCATTTCTTTTGAGAGCGTTCATTTTGGAAAAAATTATCCGCGAGGAGTCATAAATCATGCAAATTTTGACTTGGGGTCGACAGCAGAAATTTCGCTGGCATGGAAGTTCTGACTTCGTTGGATCATATACCTATTTTTTTACTTTATTGATTTTAAAATTTTACGAGCTATAATTGCTTCGATCTCTGATCCATTTAACAGATTTTTTTCCATTTCGACAGGTTTACTACTTTTCGAGGATGGATTGGTTTTCGCCTCATGCGAAGTGCATTGAGAGAGTTTGTCCTTCCCTGGAAAAATACTGCTACTGTTGATTTTTGAGAGGGGGAAATCCACTTGATTATACCGAAGAAATTTTTTTTCAATTGATTCATGAAGAAACAAACATTTGTGTGTTTTAAAAGCTCTCGTGCGTGTTATTTTTCATTTTTGCGAGTCATTTGATCGCGTTATATCGATATTCATTATTTAATGCATTTTGAATGAGTCTGATTGAATTCAGTAAAATGGGCGAAAATGTGCAACTGAGTGATGTTTTCATAACTTGTTCATTTTTTTAGAATCCATGAATTGAACTTTTATCGCAAAATTTCAACACATAAATACACAAGAAATTGAAGTGACCCAACCCGTCAACTGAGTCGCAAAAACAAGATAGAATAATGTCGGTAATAATCAATTGAAAGTTTTAATCGGGAATTATTTGATAGAATTTTAAAACAATATTTTTGAACCGTTAGAGTTTTTTTCTTGATTTACAAATTTTACTAGCTTTGTATTTATACCATCTTTCAAGCTTACCACGCGTTATTATCGCCACATGAATAAATCCTGATAACTCAATTCTTTGTGATTCTTGCAAAGTATTCAAAGTGTATAATGAGTTCCATCAATATACAAAGCACAGTTGAGCCACCAACATGTAATGATATCATTTTTTCCAAGCAGCAAAAAAAAAATTCTGAGCATTTTTTCCTTGTTTTTACGCGTTTCCGGTGTTGTTTTATAAATCAGAAATGGCAAACCTTTACAAACCCCAATCTACGACGACAACTCGATGACATCTATCCATTCTTGAATCATCGAGTAGATCCTGTCAATTCCCGATCATTCGAGTAGATTCATAAGTCATATTTTATAGGCATAAAACCTCTACGTAGGGATCATACTAACAAATACGTTATAAAAAGTATAAACTGTTGGAAGAAAATTGTAAGCCCTTATTGGAAAGAAAAGTTGTAGGAAGCAGCATTTGTTGAGGCATCGTTTCTGTATTTTTTCAAGGATGTACCGTAATAATTGTGTTGTAAGTCTCATTCGTAAAAGCGAATTTGCTATCCAGGAGGAAAAATGAAATCGGCAGCAGAGCATATATGTGCCTGTGATTAAAAATATCCTGTATACTGTATAACGAACTCTTGTTAACTCAGGTTTCCTTTGCAAGTACAGTATCAGAAGAAATTCCGAGACGAATAGGTTTTTTCTTTACCGCAATGTTCCCATGCCCGATCTCGCAGAAGCTGATGATCCCCCATTTTCGTAGCCTGATCGTTGTTCGAATCATCTCCTATATCTAGATATGAAGAAGAACCTGAAGGAGTGCGACTATATACTGCACGCTGGGGAACAATCCCCTGGAGGGTAAAAAAAGACTGGTTCCCGACCTCGACAACCTCGGGATGGGGCTTCCTAGAATACCCCTGCAATTTTCCCGCGCCATGTGTGCTGTATATATGGGGGGTATCACTATAGGAAATGAGGAGCTCGTGTGCTGGTGGGCTCACTTTACTCTCCATGCAGTTCGCCCCCCGCTGCAGAGACAGTCGCGCTTCGGGCATCTCTGCTTTCCTTTTGATCGTATCCAGCAGTGGAGAGAAAAGGAACGTGTGTACATAGGTACAGTGCGTTGGGAAGAGGTGTCGAGCTTCACTAGCTGCGTGACCCACTTTGGAAAGAATCACTCGATTTTCTACGAGCTTCAAGCCCAGAAATGACCTAAAAACTTATGAGAATTTTTCAAAAAATTTCCAAGCAGCGTCTCGTTTATCTCTTTGAAAGTCATTTTTTGTCAGCAGCAACGATCATCTTGAATTAATCATCATTAAAAATAAAGCGAAATTTCAGGGTTGAGTTTCGCTGCATGATCCACATATATAATTTAAAAAAGAAGCTCTCTCTCTCTCAATTTTTTTTAGAATAAATAACTCAGATGACCGGGGAAACATTTTTACCATGTATTCTTGGTCAAATGAAATTTGGATATTTTGAAAAGGGATCAAGTTCATGGTATTATACCCACTTCGAAAAGAAAAACTCTGGATTTTTGAGATAGAAGAGGCCTGAGAGGATTGAAAAACGTAAAATAAATTTTAATGATAGTGTCATCGTTCCTCTCTTTAATATTGTCCCTGCTTTTTTATTAGTAGACTACGAGGATTTGTTAATTTTTTCATAATTCCAAAGAAATTTGAATTTTGGAAAGAGGTCTCATTCGAGCTGCAGGGTGTGTGCAAATATAAATAAAATGTCGCAATTTTGGAAAACGCGAGATGACAGGAAAACGCATGAGCATTTTCTTTTTTCCAATTTTTAACCACCTCCTTGCTTGTAATACTCTCTCCGAATGTTCATCTTTTTGAAGGAACAAAGAATATGCCCGTAAAATTAAACGTCATTCAAGAGAAAATTGAATGTCACAAAAGCGTCACGCTTCATTGTTCGACCGGTCTTAAGAAAATTTCAGTTTTTTTTAGATTGAAGTCACGAAATGGCCTATCGAGCATTTTGTTAACAAATTCTTCAACAGCGCCTTTTACACTGTGAGGATTTTTTATGGATAATTGTTTCTGTTTAATCCTTTTCATAGCTATGCAACTGTGACCGTAAACTTGCAAATGGTTTACAAAAAAGAGCGTTAATCTGACATTAGTTCCTCGTCAAGTTGTTCAGGGATCAAAGTACTTCAAAGTTATTTATATACAGTTGATGAAATCCTTTCTGTGTACTGTATTCAAATGACAACCTCGACCTTTTTCTGTGTTTTTGACTGAACAATTTTTCTTTCTGTGAACAATGTTCGAAACACTCTCATAAACATAGGCTAGCTTTACTCTGATGCGATAGCCTTTCATCAAATATCAGAAATAACCTTTCAATTTATTGAAACGGTCTAATGTTCAAGGTTTGACAAGCTGGACTTGAATATTTTCAAAAGTTTGCTTTTATTCTGCGTGCATTCAGATTTAAATTTACAAATCGATGCCCCAAACTTTTATTTCAACAGATCTGCGATATGGAAACTTTTAATTTGTCGCCAAAAATTGACGCATGTGTTTCAAATTATGATGGATATTTCGACATGGAATTCACGTAACATTCGAAAGTCTACTTTTCAACGACGGCTGGTGAGAATTTTGAATGTTGTAATCAAGTTTCGGGATCATTGCACATTTTTGCGAGTATATCTTTCATTTTTAATCATTTATTTTAGGAGGCTCAGTTGCTGCTGTGGATCATGATGCTGTTTTTTATGGGAATATTCTCCTTGTTTCCGTTGGGTGAGTTTAGAAGAGATCCTTTTGACCTCGATAGAAAACAAAAATTTTATTTGTAATTTTCGAGTTTGATATAACCCAGAGAAGTTAATTCCCCAGCATGACAATAGTAGCAAGGATTAAAGAAGAACAGCATTTATTTTTGTTTGTGACTCACGATTCTCGACGGAAAAATAAAAGGTATATTTCTATGTAGGAATTCGAGCCCATGACCCACATATAGGCCTTGAGGAGCATGTCGAGCATTCATTCATCTCCCATGAACAGGGTGAAGAGAAGAGCATTCTTTCCTCGACGATATTCACCTGACAGCTTCCGATTCCGATTGATCATTTCCATTTACCTCGTATACTAGTACAAGAACTATATATACGGGGTTCGGCGTAAATACGTACAGAAAATTCCTTTTTGAAGAAAATCTTTTTTCACAGGGGTTCTCAAAGACTTTTTACATGACCCATGGTATCCCTTGGGACAGGAGATTTTTCGTTTTTGCCGTCGAACGTCAGCTGTGAAAGGTTCATCTCCGCCCCGAATCCAAACAGGAAATTCAGCAGGGCGATGGTGTCTGTATAAAAACGAATCCTGGGCGTTTTCCCATGCAGCTATATCTTACCCAAATTCAGGCTTATTCCTTTCGCATGTGCCTTTGTAAGTTCGATCTTTGGGGATTTGAAATGACGGATTTTTTTCCATAAATTCTTCCATTTCCATGGATATCCCGTATATACTGAGGAAGCGAACAACTCGGAAACAAAGTCGGTGGCTTAAATTAGTATGAATTGGTGGCTTGAAATTCATGATTTTCTCAACGTTTCCGTGAATTCAACGTTTGAATTGCATTACTGTCTTAGCTATAAAAACTCTGTTTTTTAAATTTCAAAAAAAAAGAAAAGCAGAAAAATCCGTGTACAGTAATCGTTAACTGAAAACACGTGACCGACAACAGATACTGCTGCCATTATTGCATAGAACTGATGAGTTTTTAAATGTTTAATACAATTCTGGCGATTAATTTTATCCGTTGTGACTCTATCGTTAGCAGAAAAATATTTCGAAGTTATTATTTTCCAATCGCGATGAGTCATCAGATGTGCAAATTTTCCACGCAAAATGTTCTGTGATGGCATGTATCGTAGTGTACATAAATGCCAGTACAGTACTGTACTTCGACCTGTGGCATTTATGATAATGAGAAAAGGGCTTTGTTCCTGTTTAGCTGAAAAACTCTTAGCTCGGAAAACTAAAAAAAAACCTCATCATTTATACCTATTATCGATTCCAAAATTTCAAACGCGCTTGAAAATTCGTGGAAAATGTTTCAAGTGCAACGTTAAAATCTTTAGTTTTTCAAATTACACATTTTTTACAATGATGATGGGCTCGACATGTTGACATTTCGCCTTATAATCAGTCAAATATGAAATATATCTGCTAAATCGTTGCCCATTGACCTGGAATTTTTCATAACTAAATCTATAGAATTACGGTTTTAGACATGTTGGGATTATAATTGCCGTGAAATAAAGTTAGAAAATATTTAAAATATAGAAAATATAGCAAACGAAGCAATAGCATTATTACAAGAACATTATTTGTACCCAAGAATGAAGTAGTAAATATTTCTGCAGTTGACATCATAATTAATCATCAGTGGCAAGGTCAACCAGTAAAAGTCTTGATGAATCTGATTTACCAAATTTTTATACGATCGCTTCGAAAATTAGTTTCACATCAGACTATCTTATAGAATTAAAGATTCCTTTGTGATTTTTGGAACTTCCCTCAAATCAAAGAGTATCTTGGTGAAAACTATTTGCCAAAATATGTTCTTAAACGTCAAGTATAGAAAAATCGCCGTGTATATGCTGGTATACAGTATTTCTGATTTTATTTTTATTGATTAGTGGACTGTCTTCAGTGGTGATGTTAATACCCGGTAAGGCACTCCCAATGCCAATTTTTTTCTAGGTTATCAAAAGTCTGGATCAAGCCAAAGTGGAAAAATTATTATAAATATTATTTTTTTAAATGTTAGCATCTCTTCGTCCACGTCAACTATGTTCTTTTGTAAAGCACCAGCAGCCCTTCCGGAATTTTCCCGCAGCTCTAAAAAGTCCAGCTCAAATAAAACCCATGCCAACATTTTTCCAGCAGCAACGCATTTTCTGTATCATTTCGGACCACCCCTTTAATGTGTACTCAGTGCACAATGGTGCCCCCAA